TTTCTTTCTTTCTTTCTTTCTTTCTTTCTTTCTTTCTTTCTTTCTCTCTTTTTCTTGATTGTTATTTTCATGTAGAAACAAAACATTTATTGAGTATAACAAATGGAACTTCTAAGCAAGCCCTATCTTATAGTGTCATTGACTTTAATCCAGCTTCCATATTTCAAAATTTACCAAAATCCAATCCTATAGATTCATCTCAAATGTGATTAAACACACAGAATAATCTTTTTGCTATGTGAACATGTCATTTGATAGCTTTATGGAAGTTTTCATGATCACTTGCAGAAAGTACAGATTTCATAGCAAGATAGAAGATAGTCTTTCTCACTCCGGTGCCTACTTGCTCTACATTTTGTCTCTAGCTGGTTTTGACTAAATATATGTCAAACCCTCTACAGGAAACTGCCTCTGCCACCACCAATGTTAAGAAGTCTGGAAGCCAGACATTTCCCACTAATGCTGGGGATGATTGCAGTTGTTACCCATGGTTTGATGATAGTTTATGAATGGTCCTGAGTCAGACAATTGTATCCCTAAGATCTTCCCTTAACAATAGAGGCTTTTGGCTACTTTAAACTACTAAGTCTGAAGAAAATTTTTATAGTTCCATCCAGCTGTATGATCTAAAACATCCCACATTGGTAAATTCTCTTATAAATTGTTGTTCAGGTATTTAGTGAGCCATTTAAAAATCACTTAATATTTCCAAGCATCTACAAAATACAAAGTTACATACAGAGAACCAGAACTCTAGAATATGTGGTATGAAGAACCAATAGTGAGTACAGTTGAAAATAACGTTGCTTAGTACCAGTGTGACATACATATACGTTAGTTGAACATATATTCCTAGAGATTTATATGGAAGAGTAATTAAATTGGATGTGAAGTTTGAAGTAGAATTGAAAGGGTACTAGAGTTTATTTTGTTGGCAAAGTTGCAACAAGACCAATATGAAGACAGTTGTGAGTCCCAGGGTCCTTAAGTGTGTAAGCCTATATAAGACAGAAGCAGAAGAGTTGCAAGACAACATCCCTGCCTCTCTAGACCCAGCTCAAATCTCATTGTTTACCTAAACCCATTTCACACTCTTCCTGCCTCAAAGACTCCTTTCCTTCAGTTGTCTCACACTATTTTATAATTACTGACTTAGGACATAATTGAGGATGGTAGCCTGTATCTGCTCTTCTGTGTGTACACACAGAGCATTGTTGAGCTTATGAAGATAGAATAGATGGAAGGAAAGAAAAAGTATTGTATCTGTGGAACTGTTTGCATGAGAAATGTTCCTTATCAGCTTATGTATATGCATAGTCTCCCACTGGGTGCGTTGTTTGGGGGAGGTTATGGAATGTTTAGGAGGTAGAGACTTGCTGGAGAGAGTATATCATTAAAGGAGGGATTCAATGCTTTATAACCTTATCCCACTTCCTATTTTCTTGCTCCTGAAAATGTATAAAATATTATCAGCCAGGTTACCTTTGCCACATGATGACTTCTATTCCTCTGAAAATGTAAACCAAAGTAAAACTGTTTTCATTAAGCTGTTTTTGCTATACAACAGAAAAGTACCTAAAATAATCAGAGAGCCTAGAAAGTTCACAGTGAGAAGACATTCTTGCTGCCATGACTGAGCAGGAATTGTATGGGCAATACACGCAAAGATGTGGGGGCTCTTTCCTTATTGACAAGGACTGTTGTTCTATGGAAGTGAATATAACACAATAAAAATTAGAAAACAAGAACAAGTACAGTTACCATCTTCTGGAATTTGTAGCAAATCATCTGTAAACCAAAACACTTACAAGGCTGTTCATGCAAGTAAGTTTTTGAGGCAAGCTATAAAGGCAAACACAAGCATAGGTACCATTTCAAGCTGGATATGAATTAACCAAAGAGTACACATCTGGTTGACTCCAGCTCATCACTGAACATGAAAAATAATCTTTTACTCCAAGAACTCTGGTTGTTTCAGAGTCCAGACTTTAGTAAAACAGGATAGTCTGAATAATTTGCTTAAATTTGTAATACCCTAGAAGGACAAAAGAAAATAGTTCTGTGACCTCACTAAGCATGTCACCTTGGAGTTGCAGACTCTATGACAAAATTGCTTATGTCCTCTCTCTCAGGCCATGGGATCTATGCACTATTACTTACATGGAATTAAAGAAAGATCAAATTTTATATGAAATAGTGTAATAGAGTCTGGATATGAATGTAAAGCCCCATCTTTAGTGCATTGTATTGATTCAAAAGATACTGTAGGGCTTTTGTCAATCTTCTTGTTCTACACAAACCTCATACCTCTAATTAAAAGAAAGGCTGGTCCTCAACCTGTACAAAGCTGAGCTTAACAATGTGGTTATTAAGGACAAAAAGTCTGAAGTTACCAGGAAGACATGAATAAGAATTAGAAAGCTTATAAAACTCTAACTGCTACACATAGAATGTGGTTGATCATATGATAGTAGATTAGATGGAAGGAAAGGGAGACTATTTTATCAGTGGATTTGTTTGAGTGAGAAATGTCCATGCTTCAAAAGCTTATATATGTTAGGTTGCAATTATAGCTGCTACAGTCTTCCATGACAATCTAGAAGTATAGATAAAATTTGGCCAGTAACAAATCACTTAATATATACTATATGTGATAAGGTAATGCATAAAATATTCCAAACTTGCAAAGATGAATGTTTCCAATCTATTTCATTGTATCATCATAGTAACCACTGTAATATGTCTTATATAGGTACCATTAAAGGGGAAGTGTGGTGGATTCTCTACACAAATAGGGTTATTTGGCTTTCCTTCTCATAGCCTTCTAGATATGAGTGTCTGCATCCCTAAGACCATACAGCTACTATGTTAAAGAATCAGATACTAGAACCAGACTGGTTTGACCTCAAAGTAGGCCCTTTGCTATGCAAATTTTCTTGAGATTTGACCATAATAATATCTAAATTGTCCATATGTGTAAGTTCTGAAAATCAAAAGTGACCATGTTTATGACAGGCAGTGGACAGTCAGAAAGCTGTAAGTTTGTATGGTGTTTGCCAAGAACTTAAAAGGTCCTATGAATTTTTCTCTTAAAAATATGGCTCTTATTTTCACAATTACCTCTAGATGAAAAGGAACAGCCTTTTCCCCAATTACATTTGCTATAGTTTTTGTTTATATTTTCATGAGTCCATGTTAAATTAGCTGTGTCATCTTACAGATTTGTTTTCTGCCACCTTGTGAGTCCAGTGCTTTACCCATTTGCTTTTAATACATATCATCACACCCATGGCTCAGAGTATATCTAGAAATAGTAAAACCACAGGACCATTGCAGAAAGGAAAAGCTTTGTCCTAACACAATTCACCTGGTAATTTGTATCCTTTGACTCTCTGGGAAAGGATGAGAAAATAGAGACAGATTAGACATTTGGAACGGATGTAATGAGGAGTCCAGCCAGGCAGAGAGTCATCACATAGACATGCAGAGAGCAGCTTCCACCAGTCAAACAAAAGCCTGGCCTGGGCCCAGGAATCACAAAGCTAGAACTACAGATAAGACCACAGAAGACAGAAGATATGAGAATAAGAACTGTAGGGTATACATTCATGGCCCTTCTAAATCGTTGTTAACTAAATTGGACAAGCAACGAAATTTACCTCGCAGTGCTCATGCAGGTCATTAGGGGAGCTAACCTCCTCCTGTCTGTACTCATTTTTTTAGAAAGAAAAATTGAAAAGCAGAGATAGCAGAATATTACTGTGGCAATAAAGAGCTAGTTCTTTTGAGTCTGTCTTTAGTGTTAGAGTATTAAGCTACAAAGAAACTACTTGAAAAACATATATCTAGCTTAGGAAATGATACAATAAGCCAGGTCTAAGAAGAATCTTATAATTAATGAAAAGCATTCAGAAAGCTGCATTTCTGGCCTGGGGAAATGATCCAGTAGATAAGAATCCTTGCCATTGGAATAAGAAGTTCTGAGTGAGGATCCCAAGCACCATTAAAAAAAAATGCCATAGCTGCAAACATATCTCTAACACTAGCACAGAGAGGAGGAGACCCACTGGAGTCTGATGTCCTCCAAGTTAGCAGAAAAATGCTGAGTGTCAGTTTCAGTGAGAGAACTTGCCTCAAGAAAGTAACATTGAAAGTGCTAGAGGAAAGAATCTAAGTCCTTCTCTAGCCTCTACATGGATGCACAAGTGTACATAAATATATGCCACACTCAGAAAAGAACTTATATTTCTTTTATTATATCTATTATGTAATATGGTAATTATAAAATATACTTTATTATGCATATTGTATACAATAATTACCATATTACTATGTAGTAATATAATATTTATTATATGTGACAATATTTCTTGATTTCATTGCATTGTATGAACTGACCACATCTATCAAATAATGGATAATTTTTAAAAATTATTTTTATTTTATGTGTATGGGTTTTTTGCTTGCATGTATGTCTGTACTATTTGAATGAATTATAAGAGCTAAAATTATAATCTTCATGTTTTAATGCTTGTTGTACAGAAGACAGCATTGGGAACATTATTGGAGATTGCATACTACATGCAATCTTTCACTGTTTTCCCAGTGCATTAAGAATGAAATGCAAGCTCTTCTCAATTTCTTTTTTTTTTTTTTTTAAACTTTAAAAAGGTTTATTTGAAATTAAGTCACCTTTCCCTTAAGGCTGCATATTAGATCCTCAATGGCAGATAGGTCTGTAGTGATGGTAGCAATTCAGCATGATCCAGTCGAGGTCCACAGACTAGGCGAGGACAAATCCTGCAGGGGTGTTCCACTAAAGCCATCCTGGTATAACAGGTGCTTACTTGAGTTCTCATTTGTGGCAGATTTTATTCCCATGAACTTGTAAACGTTGGAATTCCAATAGCCTTTAAACCATAGCTTTTACCATAACTGAGAGGTGGTAGGCAGGAAGGAACCTCAGAAACCATGATACATCCATTTTTGTTCCCAGCAAGCCCCTGGGAACAGTCTCAATAGTTTTAAGCTCACAGCCAAAGCTGCCGTCAGTCTAGCACGTCAGAGACGTTGTGACATGTCCAGAGCTGAGACCATGCAGCAGCTTGTGTTTAAAGAGACAGGTGTGGGTGAGGAAAGGGGTCAAAGCAGAGACTGTAAACCTTACAACGGTGCATCTGAGGCCCACGCTGTCAAGTGTATCCACTCCACTGTAAGCGGAGTACCCCATTCACCAATGTCAACAGCAGGGCACAGACAAGGACTAGTTCCCACATAACAGTCACTGTGTTAAAAACCATCTATGCCTCCCTCCTCCTTTCACATCCCAGACTCCACAGACTCAATGTCTAGATCCTCTCTCAAGCATCAACTGTCTCCCCGGCCTTTGCGTTCTCTCAACCCTAAAAACTCCAAAGCAGAAAACAAAACCTCTTTAGGTTGGTGTCTGGACGCAATAGCAGAGACAGCCCATGGCTAAACCTGTTTCTAAAAGTTCTGGTTCACAGCACAAGTGGCTTCTCATCCAACACTGCAGAGGTAGAAAGTCCAGGGTAACTAGACACAAGGGGCCAGCAACACCTTTCTGGGTAATAAGGCTAGTGAAGAGGATTCTATATATCCTGCTCTACTCAAAGGGCAATATGTACAGGAAGAGGGGAGAAGCAGCCAGCTCATCCCATTCAGTGACTGGCATCCCACCCAGTCCATCCCATTCAGTGATTGGCATCCCACCCAGTCCATCCCATTCAGTGACTGGCATCCCAGCTCATCTCATTCAATCAGAAGATCAAACTGCTCAGCAGCTTCAAATTCAGCATTCATGGCCATAGCCCACTTATCCAGCTCTGATTTCGGTATCTCAGGAATCTTCTTCTTTCGTTTCTCTTTCACAACTGGGGGAGAGATTCCAGGGAGCGTTCTATCTGGAACCAACTGCTTCGCAGGTACCTTTGGGGTTTCGATTAACTTTGAACACACGACAGGTGAAACTCCAGGCAAGTCTTCAGGTCCCTCAAAGCCAAAAAAGGATCGGCGGCCAGGGGTGGAGGTTGGGGCACATCCGAGGCTCTGCAGTCGACTGTATGACCGCCTGACTTTCTGAGACATTTCCAAGTCTCTGGTGTCCAGCTCCACCTCTCCAGAGTTAGACTCAGCATTCTGAGTGTACAGTACAGGGGTGCTGGAGGGAGTACCAGGGACAGTACAAGTCTTGAAGAGGTCCTCTTTAGTGGGTACCTTGAGCGGAGGGTGGTTTTCTTTCTCCAAGATAAAAGAGATCCTAGGACTCCTGCGAAGTGTGTGGACATCTGGGACCTCTACTGCATGAACTACGATCTTCTTCAAGACGATGGCCTTTCTGACTGGAGCTGCTGGAGTTGTTCTCGGCCAGATATCAGGGAACGTGTTCGGGAGATCTGAGCCAGATTTCCGCTTAGACGACTTCGAAGGCTTAGTAAGTGGAGTCCTGGGCCCAGACCGCTGGGGGGCCCCTCCGGATCGTGTCCGCCGCTCGGACATGTCTACGGTCGAGCTCAGGATCCGCCACGGTCGCCTACTAAGGCTCGCGCCAACTGTCTTCTCAATTTCTTACAGACCCTGAATATTCAGGCCATCCCTTCTGTGACCTTTACATCTTTTTTGATAACATGCTGACCTTGTTTCCTCAGAGCACTTCATGGATTCCAAGCTTTCAGCCATGTCAGATCCTTTCTACTTTCTGGCTTTTCTACCCAGAATAGGAGCTTCCTATGTGTTTGTTTTTTCCCTGATATCCTTAAAATCTGTGTTGTGTCTTCAGACATGTCCTAGTCATCCTTTGATAAGTAGCCCTTCATTACCTGCCATCACGTCACTGATGAATCTTCCACTGTACCTCTAACCTCCTCATAGAATTCATCCAGGTCTGCTACTTTCTCATTTACTGTATTTTTTTTTCCTCAAACAGGCTCTGTGAGTGCAGGAATCTGACCATTCTTAATTTATGTTGCATCAAATACTAGAAAGATATTTATCATACTAGGTAGGTGTGACTTGCTGGCTAAATAAACGAATATATGTATGGAATAGAGGCTAGTTTTATGTACCAATTTCTATGATTATTATTGTGCTGAGTTTTATTATCTATACTGTTTCAAATAGTTATGGTGAAACAAGTATTGTTGTCTTTGTCTCAGAGATGAGAGGAGTGGTGACTTGGATCTTGTAATACTGTGTAAGCCCTTAAGGGGCTCACAGCTTAATAACATCATTAATGAAAAACTCATTTTGTAATGGATCATATTTTATGTTCTTCTACAATTCTATATAAGAAGGTCACCTAGCACACATAAATTAGGGGACTAGGTTTAGCCTCTGTTAAATTACGCATGCTTCCACAATGTGCATATGCCGATGAAATAAACAAGCTTTGGAGAGCAGTCACTGTCTCTCACTTGCATTCCATCACGATCACAACCCTCTGCTTATAATTGACAACCACATAGCTCTTTCATAGGGAATTTTTTAGTTGGACAAGTTCTTCCATTCCATGATAGGCAGGCAGGGCAGGTGTGCTTTGTCTTATCTCCCTGCACACAGGTTCCTGATGCTGCTTTGTTGTGATGATGAGTGCTTTGTTCAAGGTCATTCAGCTGGGAACACAGTCCTACTGTTCCCAGAGCAAGGAAATATTCCTGTGTTTGCCTTGCTTGCATGTCCTCAGCAAGTAACTTTTCTTTTTCTCTCTAGAGCATTTTCTGAAGTCCAGACTTAGAACATATTCAGTGTTCTAAATGCAAGCACTCAGGAAGAAAAAAGGTCAATGTTGTTTTTTCATCTTTACTCCTGACTATCCTTTCCATAATGAAACACAAAGAAGCATGTCCCCAGAAAGCCTGACTGGACTGACTCATGATATTTTCATGGGTGATAATTATAGGCACATGTTGTTTCCCTATCACCATTTGCCAAGATGTGCTATAGAATGGTATCCCTAAGTGCATCCAATCGGATTCCACCAGCATTAATCTCATTTCAGTAACTGTCACATTTCTCTGTTCCACAATTTACCTTACTCATTACTTTAGCCTAGATAGAATCCCTTCTACTTCCCAAGCTGCAAATCAATTTTAGAACACAGATGTCATTAGATTGTTCTTTTCCCAAAAGGAATCAGTGGTTCCTTACTGCTGCCACCAAAGTTATGATACTGTGGCATGTCACTCAAAGCCTTGTTCAGCCCCCTGTCCTACTATAGGATGAAATCTTAGGTCAGGGAAATGCCATCTGATTTCTGTGAACAACCTGCTCTCTATATGTGTGTGGCTTTGTGTGGTGTTTCCACATCATGCCACTCTCCATCTCATCGCCACAATGAAAAGCAGCTTTCTATTTGAAGCTTTCCTAGACTCTCCTCCACTATCCTTTTCCCTTGAAGAAGGTATTCTTTTCTTCTATTCCACCTATGCAGTTTCTTTATGCATCTATTCAGAGTGCAATAGAATTAGTGTCTATTTTTAATATTATAACCACTACTATATTCTACAGAATGAAATGATTTAAATATTAATGTTTATTACTTTTTGCCACATTCCATTCAGTGTCTTTAATTCATAGGCATGCTATCATTGAGGGCAAAGGAATTTTTGATTGCTTTGTGTAACATTAGACAGTAATATAACATTTGTCAGATAAAAACAAGATTTTATTGTGTTTTAGACTCTAGGCATTGTTGTGGAACTTAAAATTTACCTGCCATGTTTTCTGCAGTCGTCTGAGGTAGCTGTAATGCTGCTGTTTCCCAGATAAGAAAACGAAGGCTGAAGGCAGCCATCATCATCATCATACACAGAATCATCACACAAAGATTCAGGTGCAGCTGACTCTTACTGTGCATTCAACTCTATTATATTATTTGTCTACTTGTATAACATGACGAAATATTAAATATCTTTTCATCTGTACAAAACACTGCCACATTTTATATCATGTACAAGCTGTTAGAAGTTCTGTAAAAGTGAACTTAGTACTTAAAAGTAATTGAACATGGCATCAAGTCAGGGGGGATAGGATGAAAGTGGTTTTCTTGTAGGTAAATTTGAGATCAGCTGATGGGGACAAACTACTTGGAACCTCTTAGGAGAATGGCAGGTGCTACAGTGAACCAAAGGCAGGTCTTAGTGATTGTCTTTTGTCAACTAAATGAAAACTCCCCTGAAGTAAGATTAGTGAAAAATGAAGACTATTACCCTTGACAAAGTGAAAATATTCATTAGGAATTTAGTATGTGTGCTTCAGGGACCTGTCCTTTCTTATTGGCTTACAGAGCTCATTGCCTGCTCACATATCTTGGTCCAATGTCTTTGGTTTCAATTCATTCTCTATGACCTTTGAATCATGCAATATTGGGGAAAATTAACAAAATGATACCATACACCATGAAAATACTTCCCACTGAATATCTGAACCAGGGGCTGGCCCCCATCTCTTAACCCATTCTGTATGAGGGTCACACTTTGGGTCTCATTTAGTTAGTGAAACCCACAAAGGCACCCCCATCCTAGCCCTGAAGAAACATTAACAATACCAAGAGCTCCATGCAGCCATCCCTAAGAGCACTTAGCTTCCATTGAAAGTCACGGGGAATTATGCATACATGAGAATTGAGGGAAGATGGGAGAGACAGCCTACTGCCAAAGAATATCACTGCCATAAAATATCACTGCCAAAGAATATCACTCTCTCTTCCTGTTGCTAGTGATGCTGGATGTCAAACTCACAGCTACTGTGCCTTCTTTCAAGCAATCATATTCTCTATTCTGATGACAATGGGCTAAAACTCTGATGAAATTGTAAGCAAGACCCAATTAAGTGTTTTCCTTTATAAGAGTTGCCATAGTCATGGTGTCTCTTCATAGTAACAGAATACTGATTAAGATGTTATGTACTTTAAGAAAGAATAATCTCACCCTTTTTGGGTGAAGCATTTTTCCTATTATTTCTGAGGATTATCTTTTCTGCCTTATTTTTTCTGATTATTTTCCTCTTTAGAAGTATCATCAGATGCCTGGGAATGTTTTTGAAGCCTGAACTAGGAAAGAGGTAGTACAGTCCTGGTCCAAAACCCTGTGTGCACAGGCAGAGTAATTGATACTTTTGTTTCAGATGAATGATCCATCAAGGTCTGACCATTTCATACTTGGGAAACTTTTAAATACCAATATTTGGCTGAATTTATTCCAATGTTTATTTTTCCTAGATGTCTAGTTTGTCTAGAATATTTTATTATGTTTTTCTTCTGGAGATAAACCTATTTTTTCTACTGTTGGCATTGGCGATGAAGGAAAAAGAAAATATGGAGAATAGAGTTCCCTGTGATGTCCAGTCTTTCAACTATCCTAATCTGTACCAATATCTAAAAGGCCTTTGGGGAGAAAATCTGCAGTCCATTATCTGGATTGAGAGAAGTAGATGAGAGTGTTCACTCTTTTGTGTTTACAACCTCAGTTCACACCACTGTGTTCAGAAGGGTCTGGTGACTACAAGTCCCAAAATCTTTCTTCTTTTTTATTCCATTTCCTGCTCACTCAGTCACAGAACATCACCTCCACTCCTGCATCTGCTTTTCTGCTTCCAATACTTTGTTCTTGCCTCTCACCCACTTCGATGTTGTCTTTCATACTGTCTGCCTTTGTAGACTATCTTTTAATATTGTTCATATGTCATGATAGAATAGACATACAGTAGAAAGAATGGAAAGAGGTGAAAGTTTCAAGATGACACGTCTAACTAAAAGGTCACAATTTAGAATTAGTTCTATCGGATGTAATCTTGGTGCTTCTATCAGTTCAACTTACCAAGATCATCCAGACCACAAAACTATCATCTAGCAAACAGTTTCTCTTGCCAATTGAGTCACAATAAATGTATAGTAAACTTTTACAGTTTTCAGCATAGCAGATGCACAACTCTGTTCTCAGCATATGATTTTTTTGCTTCTGTGTGAAACCTTGATGCAGCAGACATAGCTTAGTGCTAGGGTAAACACTTGCTTAACATCTGTAAAATCCTGTGTTTGGTTCCCAGTACTCAAAAACAAGTCCCAGTCAGTGTAGATCTAATCTTTTGTTCTTGACTTGTAACAAACACTTCTCAGTTGACCAGAGGATTAAAAACAACTGTTTTCATTCCTGGCACATGCACAACTGTATTTGTCATAGAGCTGTCTGGATTGAGAATGGCATCATGGAGCTTTGATCTCAACTAACATACCTAGTTAGAATTCAAGTAACAATTTCTTACAGGATCTCATTGCTCCATGCTCTTAGAAGTTTTCATGTGTCTGTCTTTTGATCACATCTGTTCACTAGACACTGAAGGTAACCATATATAACATACAAAATTCTTGCTTGTATCTAATTTATAGAAAAAAGAGGTTGAATCAATTTAACAGAAGATAATAGAATATAGCAGAATATTATAATGAGAATCAAAATGCACTGTAGCAAAACTGAATAAATGTTATATCGGATTCCATAATACTCATTTATAGAATCATGAGATCTGAGATGTACAAATTAACTCTAGAA